CCACTCTGTGGAGTTTTACTGGCACCCTGAACATAATCTATACCCCTATCAAAAATTCAACACAATTTTTCATAGGTCTTGAACAATTTCAACTTCATTTGAAAATACAAAAGAAGCTAAAACAACCCTGAAGCATAAGAACTTACATGTGTACCACTATCCCTGACTTCAAATCGTACTACCGACATTTTTAATAGAAACCAAATAGTGTTGGCAAAAAAAGAGACAGGTTGATCAGTGGAAACAAATTAAAGAACAAGACATGCATCCACTCACCTATTGACACCTGATTTTTGATAAAGACAAAATTATGCACTGGAAAAGAAAAGACAGCATCAACAAACAATGCCGGCAAAATGGATGGCATACAGAATGGAAGTAGATCTGTACCTATCATCCTGAAAAAAAAAAAAACTGCAAAAGGAACAAACACCTCAGCATAAGAGCAGATCTATATAAAGAACTCTACATAAATATATAAAGAAATATATGAAGAAACTATATATCAAGAAAACAAACAATACTCTTTAAAAAAATGGGGAACAGATCCAAACAGAGAATTATCAAAAGAGAAAACTCAATTGGCTAAGAAACATTTTTCAAATGTTCAGCATCCTTAGACAGTACGGAAATGCAGATCAAAACTTCTTTGAGATTTCTTCTCAATCGATCAAAATGGTTAAAATCAATAACACAATGACAACAAATGTTGGCCAAAATGCAGAGGTGGGGGAACATTTATCCATTGCTGGTGGGAGTGCAAACTTGTACATGCCGAAGACCTAGAGCCTTCATACCTTGGGCTAGAGTTCTTGTTACTGGAAAGAACATAGCAATAAATGACTCCTAATCACACAGTTCTCTATTCATAGATCAGTGCCTTGCTCAGTGTATCATCAGAGACCTTCCTCCTGTGTAAATGGAAAAAATATAGAGACCCATAATACACAGTATGCACTGAGTGAGAGTCTTTGCTAGACTCAGCCTTAAATGCGATTTCTCCATCAAATCCCTCCCCCCAGGTCTCAGGGAACCCTGTAGCAGAGGAGATATAAAATATGCAAGATCCAAAAGAGATGGAGGACACAAATAATACAGGCCTTCAAAACACAGCTAGACCAGATGGGGTCCTAGAGCTAAAAAGAGAAGTAGACAAAATCCCCATCCCTAACCCGGAAACGATCTCCAACTGATAACCACTTGCAACTGATAACCACTTGCAAATAAAAAAGACAAATTTTCTCAAAGGGAATCTCCCTTGGTAAATAAACTTCTCATAAGTGTAGGCTGCACATCATGCAGTAAATGGCCAACATAAAGAAACTCAACAGCATCTTTGGGGATTTGGCTTATAATATTATGTCAGGGTTTTTTCTTTTCTTTCTTCTTTTTACATTTTCATTATTTTATTTTTATCTTTTTAACCTATAGGTTCTTTGAATATATATTATGGTTTCCAGTTTTGTGTTTTTGTGAGATTCCTAAGTGAGTGAATGAGTTAATCTCTTCTTCTACATATAAATATGAGGGGAGGTAGAAAGAAACTGGAAAGACGAGAGAGGAGAACCTATAATTAGGATATATTATACTCTTGAAAATCTATTTTCTTCACTAACCCCACATCTGACAGAAGGCTGACATCATATATATATATATATACTCAAGAAACTAGTCTTGAACAAACCAAACAACTCAGTTTAAAAATAGGGTACAAACCTGAACAGAGGGTTCTCCACGAGGAAATTTCTAACAGCAGAGAAATACTTAAAGAAATGTTCAGCATCCTTAACTATGAGGGAAATGCAAATCAAAAGTACTCCGAGATTCCATCTTACACTGTCAGAATAACTAAGACCAAAGTCACAAGTGACAGCTTATGCTGGTGAGGATCTGACGCAATAGGAACACTCTTCCATTGCTGGTGGGAGTGCAAACTTGTACAGCCACTTTGGCAATCAATATGGAAATTTCTCAGAAAATCTACCTCAAGACCCAGCTATATTATTACAGCTGGGTATATAAGCAAAGGACACTGCACCATGCCACATTAGGAATTATTTCATTGATTCTTTTTCCCATTTGTGTTTGGTTTCATTGTGGGTCTCTGGGATATCCTTCCTCTGGCTCCCGGCCCAATTGTCATCAGAGAGGCTTCACCCACCAACTGATGGAAATGGATGCAGAGACCCTCAGCCAAACATTAGACTGAGCTTGAGAAATATATTATAATAGGAGGAGGAAGAAGAATTGTAGGAGCCAGAGGGGTCAAGGACTCCATAAGGAAACCCACAGTATCAACTAACCAGGGCACATAGGCACATAGATACTGAAGCAACAACTGGGGAGGCTGCATGGGACTGACCTAGGCCCTTTGCACACAGGTTACAATTGTGCAACTTGGTCTTCTTGTGGGACTTCTACCAGTGGGAGAAGGAAATGTCTCTGATTCTCTTGCCTGGCTTTGGAACCCTCCTACTGGGTTGCCTTGTCTAACTTTAATAGAAGAGAAAGTACCTAATCTTTCTGCAACTGGACATGCCATGGCTGTTTGATATTCTTGGAGGCTGACCATTTTCTGAGGAGAAAAGGAGAAGTGAATGGGAAAGAGGAAGGGAGAATAAGAGACTGGGCAGAGTGGAGGGAGGAGAAACTGAGGTTGGGATATAAAATAAATAAAATTAAAATTAAAAATATTTTTAAAGAAATTTATTTTCAATAAGAGTAAAAGATATAAATTTCTCCTCAAAAACTAAATGAAATTGTTTAGTGCGGAGCAGCCTTGCTATGCCACAGAGGAGGACAATGCACCCAGTCTTGATGAGACCTGATAGGCTAGGATCAGTTGGAAGGGGAGGAGGACTTCCCCTATTAGTGGACTTGGAGAGGGGCATGGGAGAAGATGAGGGAGAGAGGGTGGGATTGGGAGGCAATGAGGGAGGGAGCTACAGCTTGGATACAAAGTGAATAAACTGTAATTAATATTAAAATTAAAATTAAAAAAAGAAAAAATGCTCTGTAGCCACACTCATTTGAACATACTTTATTCTTCTACAAAATTCTATTCTGGTAATATGACTGGCTTTCCTGAATGCTTATTGTTTATGTATGTTAATCACATTTAATCAGAGATATTTTAATATTAGTAGTCACAGAAATTATGTGCTCTGTATCTACCATTGCTAAAGCCTACCAGAGAATATGTATTGATTCCACCTTAATATTGGTCCAATAGTGAAAGTGGCAAAGATAAAATTACATTGTGGCCCCATATAAAGGGATACTACCTAGGATAACAGAATAGCAAGAGAATTTGAACCTTAGGCATGACATATGTGGGAAAAGTACAACCAAACATCAATGATTCTTTTTCTTAAATCAGTAAAGTCCAAAATTCAGGGGGGACCACTGTAAAACATCAGTAAGTGTCAACCACTCTACTATCCTCCGGGGCTTTCCTTGCCATCTTTTAAATATGTCAATTATAATACTATGTCAACCACCAGACAGCCGCAAAAACCAAGATCTGGAACTGAGACACAGCAGCAAGAAATAATTAATAAATTATGTTCTATGACACTAGTGACTACCTTTCAAATAGCCTCCATTATGGTTGTCTAGAGGCATGAGAGCAATGTAGGTGGTGATGGAGCATGCATACCTGTGTATGTGTGTTTGTATGTGTATGGGCATGTCGGGGGGCATGGGTTTGGGGTGTATGTGACTGAAAGATGGTGTGGAAATGTGGTCAATTCACACAGTTACACTATTAACTCCAAATCGCATATGGGCAGCCTGGAGACCCAAAAAAGAACCGCTCCTGAAGCTCTTGCCAAAGAGAGCCTGAAGGCAGAATTTCCTCTCCTTTAGAGGAAAATATTTATTCTTAAATTATGTACAAATCTTACATCATCCAGAACAAGCTGATTTACTCAATATCTAATGATGAAACTTCTACTTTCATCAGATATTAGTTTCCCAGAAATGTCTGCAATAGTGTCTGAGGCTTGATGACTAGCCAAACAGGTGCAGGAAATCTTCCAGTTCATGGACTGTCCCAAACTAAGATGCTTTGATGTTTTGTTTGTTTGTTTTGTTTACTACAACTTTATTCAGTATCCTCATGGTACCAACATAGCAGGTTTTGTATTATGCTAAAGATATTAAGAGCAAGCATAGATAATTTCAAACCAGTGGAGTATAAAGTTGTGCTCATTATGAGTATTACCAAATAAATCTAAATTGATTATACAGAATAATGCAGTCCATTGACAGTGATCTGTGAATTGCTAGCAATTATTTCAAACACAAAAATGATCAAAAATAATGATAAGATTAATTTATGCTAAAATATACAATGAAGATATTACTGTAAACTACTGAAATGACTTATTTTTATGAGTATTCATGTGCATTTAAGATTTTTTTGCAATTTTTCTAAAATTATCATTTATTACAATTTATTTAATTTGTATCCCGCTGTGGCGTCCTTCCTCTTCTCCTCCCAATTCCACCCTTCTCCCTCGATGCCCCTCCCCTAGTCCACTGATAGGGGAGGTCCCTCCTCCCTTTCTATCTGACCCTAGCTTATCAGGTTCTCATCAGGACTGATTGCATTGTCTCCCTCTGTGGCCTGGCAAGGCTGCACCTCTCAGGGGGCGGTGCTCAGAGAGCCTGCTACTGAGTTCATGTCAGAGAAAGCCCCTGCTCCCCTACCTTTAAAAAAAAAAAAATGACAGTTTCAAAAAATCTTCACAGATGAAAGCACTGTAATTTCAAGCTCAGCTGATATTGTGATGCCATGCTCATAGAATGCTTTTTAGACATAATTATGTTCAATATAAGTAAATAGGAAACATTAACCAGCTTAAACACACCCCTGTTCTGTTCTACGTTAGGTTTCATTGACATAGATCTACACATTCCCAGTGCAATCTGCAATATAGATAAGGGTTTGGCGTATAATATGCTATCTGGAAGAAAAGGACCTTAAGCTTATAACATCACTAATCTTTATTAGCTTCCAAGCTTAGAAACAGCAGAGTCATTAATAATCTTCAATACCTGGGCAAGTTAATCACTCCGTTGTTTGGTTTATTCTGGGTAAAAATGGAAAAGTAATGAGCTGTTAAACATTCTTCGCCCAGGGTAGTGTACCGACATGTTGCTTGTCAAGAAAATCTTCCGCTTCCTCATCTGTACTGTAATCACCAGGTGACAGCGAAGACTGCATTTCGGTATTTCTTCTAGAAGAGCTGAAAATGCATCAGAAGATCAATACACAGCATATGGTACCAATTTTCAGCTTTCGTTTGTCTTATAATCTATACTTATGTTGAAGTCATTGGAAGAAGGCTGAGTGGGGCAGTAAGTTTTGATGCTCTTGTGATATACTAAGCCTTCTTTTAATGACTAAATCTCATCATTTTCCTGCTTCCAGGGGAAAAAAAGCTACTATTGTACCAAAGGAAAAGAATTCTTGTGTGCTCCAGTAGTGTTCTTCCCTGACGTTTTTTGAGGAACTTCTAAAACCTGCAGAGTCCCAGGTAATTATTAAGAACATTCATCCTGTCATTGGCTGCTTAAAGGAATCCCACTGCATAGACATTCAGATAAATATCCCGTTTGTATACAATAAATTAGAATGATATGGTTAGTCATTCAAGATAAACCAAAGCTAAAATTCAATGACACTAACTACTTGCCTTTTTTTTTCTTGATTGATTTATTTTGTTCAGTATTTTATCTGTAGGGGGTATGGAATGCCCAAAGCATGTGAGTGTTCGAGGTTTATAAATAGCTTGGGAGAACAAAATAGTCTGTATCAGTCAGATAATTTGATCCAAAGTGACCAGGATATCTAGATCATATGAAAATGTTCACTCTGTTTTGCACATAGGGCCTTGATAGATTATTTTTATCAAATCCAAAAAGACTAAATCAACACTTCATAATGTTTTCTGTAAACCAGATGGGAAGAGAATACCAGGGCAAGATGAATTTTGTGTGACTCTTTTAGTTGTAAGTCCTGCTTTTTATCATTTATCCCCCTATATTTTTATTATAAAATTAATTTTGTGAAATGATAATGAGAACAAATATTAATTAAGTTGGGCTTCAATAACTTTTAGGGATAAAAACAGTAGTTTCATACTATTCATTTTTAACATGTTATTTGTGTTGAAATGCAAAAATTTTAAGAGCTCAAGCAAAATAATTTTTCTTCCAGCAAGACTGAGTTACAAACTATTAATTCTGTTTGAGCATAAGGCTTAAAACCAAGCAGAGAGAATTATAATTAGAGAGACTTTTAATTTGAATTTGTTTTCTTATTTTTTAAAGGAGGCATCTTTCCTCAAAACTTCCAGTGCCATTAATAGCCAAGCTTATTGCGTTATTGAAGCATTTGCCAGTCTGACCTATCTTTTAAATTGATCCCCATAAGCAAAGAAGTATAAAATGGTGCAAATTAAGGGAAAACTCAATATTTTATTCTTTAATATTTACATTGGATAAGAGTCAATTAATGTGAGCTATGGAAATTCATCAGATTAATTCAAGTAAGACAATTTTTCAATATAATACTGTAGTATTATTACTTCTTTTTCTCCCTTTTAATGACACACACTGTATTGCAAAGAAGTATCTTCAAAATTAATGTAACAAGTTTTTAAGCATTTCACTAAATCATACTACTAGGTCCGCACAAAATCCAAACATTTTATGAAAATAAGATGGTAATAAGCTTAATAAATGTGGGCAATATTTCTTTTCATAATACAGAAAACTGATTGGAGCTCATCTAATTCGCTTATGCCCCATTTTTTTCACAGGAGGCTGTATTCACTTACCTGAACTCAGTTCCATAGGGGTCACTCTCACATAATATCCCAAGGAGGTCTTTGGACACCTGACTTAAATCTTCTAATGGTAGACAGTGAAGTTTTTCTGAAGGGCCTGAAACATGTCATTTCATATATCACTAGCACATCTGAGAAACATGTGAACAGCATATGGTACTGGAATATACCCAGAATGAATGATAAACAACAAAAGAGAATAGATACAGACTTGTCACCACCTACCAATTTGTTAATGTTTGCAGGATGGTGAAGTCTTGTCTGAGATTCCATGTTGCTCAGCCAAAGAGGTACAGTGCTTACTAACATGTATAAAACTAATCATTAGTACCAAATGGAAAGAGAGAGGGGAAAGAAAGAGAAAGTAAACAAGACCATGTTAACAGGTCCCCTTAATCATACAGATTTTTGAAATATACATGCTGCTTGTGAATTATAGCCAATATCCTGGCAATTCACAAAATTTCAAATGAAAGGAATCTTCTTTAACACTAGATTTTTATGCAGTTTTCAATTTACCTTTTCATTAGACACTTTATTATCTCTGTGCTTGTTATATTCTGCAATGTTCCTCCCTCTTTTTCAGTTTCTTTGCTTAGGGGAAATACTACTTTGTACTTGAAGGAGGGAGAGGAGCATGTAAACCTTAAATCTTCTCCCTTTTCTTCAGCTGGCTTTTGGTTCAGTACCCTCGGGGTAGACAAACAGAATGTTTAGGCAAAATTATCTTTATACAAACTATTCTAGAACCAAGTATGGAAGTAAATAGTTCTAGGTTAGATCTCAGAGCGTTCTTTCTGACATTGATGTAACTTTCTTTCTTTACACAGCTTCTCACATAACCTAGGCTGGCACAGTATGTAGCCCAGGATGACTGTGAACTTCAAACTCTCTTATCACTGTAATTACAGGTGAATGCTGTAATTACAGAAGTGAGTCACTGTACCCTATACACGAGGCGCTGGAGCTCAATTCCAGAGTTTTCTACTTTTTAGCCCTCTACCAACTGAACAATATCCTTATTGCACAAAGCCATCTAAGTTATCACAACAAATACTATGATGACTGTTCAGGTTATCTCCATCACTGGGTGCTATCTTCTCCCCATTTACAAATGGGTCAAATAATTAACTTTCTGGTTAGAAGGAATAAACACTAAACTGACAATATTCCACTGGACAGAATAATATTAGTTTTGATGGTTAAGAGTAACTTTCAGTTTTTCAGCAAGCAGATTTCCTCCACTGAAAGTAAATTACATTGTTCCCAATGAAAGATAGACCTCAATATATTTACAGATTAAAACTTCCTTAAAATTATTTAGCTCAGTGATTTTCAAATTATGATACACTTAGATAAATTAAATTTGAGATGAAGTTCTTTTCCCACAATCCCAAAGCAATCACAGAGAGTCACCTAATCTCATTTATATTTGAGGACTCTTGATAAGATTTACTATGAAACAAAAATCCTAAAAGTTTGGCTATATTAAAAAAAAATCATCACCCTTACTTGTTAGATTAGAAAAATGAGGACTCACAGAAAAATAGTCACTCACTATACAATGAATATTGCTATTAGATGCAAGTTCCTTTAGATCAACGATACTGGAAGTGACTATGCTACAACATCTAATTCTAGCCCTGAACTCTTCTCTTCTTCACAATTCAGCTTCTAGGCTGAAAGGACAACACCCGACTCCAGACAGCAGCACTAAACAAAAGACTGGTGCCACTGCAAAGCAAAGGATTTTAGGCATACTTCATCTTATGATAATCACAGAAGACACAAAGTCAACAGGAGGAAGATGAAAAGATGGGGCATGACAACCAGCTGTGCCCCTACAAGAGCATCCAAGAATCAGTGGCATGGCGCAGTCATAAATGGAAGATTAACCTGAAGTCAAGCCTTGTATTGCATGCCTATAATCCCAACAATCAGGCTGGTGGTAGAGGCAGGAAGATCCTTAATTACATGCATGACTGGACTAGGTTGCAATCTTCAGACCAGGCTGGCCTATATTGTAAAACCTTGTTCTCAATACTACTAATAATAAATAAAAGAATTTGGCAGAAGACACGCAGTAAGACCATAAAAATATTCCACATAAATTTCTTGCCTACAAAGAAGCAACGAAAACAAACTATTTTTGACAACAACAAAACTAATCTCAAAGATCTAACAAAACAGGGAGCAGCCTTACCAGGCCACAGTAGAGGACAATGTAGCCACTTTTGATGAGAACTGATAGACTAAGATCAGAAAGGAGAGGAGAACCTCCCCTATCAGTGGACTTGGGGAGTGGCATGCATGCAGAAAGGGGAGGGAGGGTGGGATCGGGAGGGGCGGAGGGAGGGGCTTATGGGGGGATAAAAAATGAGTAAAGTGTAATTAATAAAAAAGTAAAAAAACAAAAAAAATGAAAACATTAAATTAAAATTAATACACACACACAAACAAACAAACAAACAAAAAAAAAAAACAAAGCAAGTTAAATGGCCACTTATTCTTCAGTTGGATCTTATACCAGAAAAATAGTGATCTCAAACAAAAGCTTCAGGAAAGAACTGTTGAACATGTCCTATGAATAGAGAAGTATTCTGACCGTGTTAATTGCCCCACTCCGAACACTGCAGCACACAAGTGTAAGAGGTGTTCTTGTTCAGGAAGGTACACACTGATATGATTTCTGGTAAAGTCACAATGTTTGTAACTAACTTTCAAAAGGGTCCAAAAAAATGTACAAAAACAAAAAATGCATTCTCTTGCTCTGCTCTCTCCACCCTCTACCCTCTGTTTCTTCTTTCCCTCTCTCACTCTTCTCTCTTGCTGTCTTAGAATGTACATACATACATGAGTTTGCTACATGTTTTTTCTCTAATTGACAAATTTTCTGAAAGATTGAAATTACTTTTAAAAAACTCTACCAATAATATCAAAGGTAATATTAAAGCAAAATAGTTAGAGAATTTGATATTTAAATCCTGAAGTAGAATTTGAACTTCAGGAAAAGCACAACAAATACAGAGAGAATTAAAATCCATGTAAAGAAACCCTGATGGCTATTCTTGTCTGTCAACTTGACATCTGGAATTAGCCAAAACTCAAGGAGCTGGATATACTTGTGAGAGATTTTTATTGACTGGATCACTTGAGATGGTAACATTCATCTTAAATCTGGGTGATACTTCCTGGTGGCTGCCTATGTAAAAAAGAAGGGGCTCTTGTTCTTTGCCTGCTTGCCCTAATGCTCACTAGGAAGTCCATTCCTTCGCTAGCATTAGAACCTACTTCTTTGGGATTTGGGCGTATTCTGAAGAGCAGTGGAGACACTCATCATTATAGATTGAACATCAAATTTTTGGACTTTTTGTTGGGAGACAGCCATTGTGAGAATGCCAACTAATAGAGTAAGTGAAGGACATATTGGAAAGGCGTTGTTAAGAGATGATCCAACTAAAGAAAATAGGTTCCCATTACGAGAAAGCAGAATAAACCAGAAACCAATTCAAGAATACAAAAGCAGACTTTTTTTTCTGAAACTGAGGAATTTATTCTACAGTCAGAAAGAAAAGCTTCCACTGTAAGAAGCAATTGGCATAGAATCTTAGCCCTGTCACTAAGGAGACAAGAGCATAAGATGAGATAGTCCATAGGCCTAAAGGAAATATGATCAGAATGAATAAAGAAAAAAGAACAAAACAATTAAACAAGAAAACACTTCATGTATTCTTCCTGGAAGGAAATGTGAAGAAAAAGCATGAGGTTGTAAACTAAGAGAGCATCAGATTATGTCACAGCAGGGTCTAGAGCCAGGAGTGTGCCTGTGGAAAGTTTAAAAGAGAAGGACTCAGTCTACGAGTGTAAACTGATCTGTGTTTCAAGTATAAAGTCCTCAGAGGTTTCTTCTTTCTCTTCTTTCTCTTTCTCTATCTCTTTCTTTCTTTCTTTTACTTTATTTCACAATACTTATTAAACATGAGTAATTTTGTGATGCAAAGAAACAGATTAGAAGAAAACAAAGATTCTATCAAAATTATATTTTTGTTTATCTAGAAGTACAATATCTTTTTTAATTTAATTTAATTTTATTAATTACACTTTATTCACTTTGTATCCCCCCATAAGCCCCTCCCTCCTCCCCTCCCTGTCCCACTCTCTCTCCCCCTTCTTCATGCATGCTCCTCCCCAAGTCCACTGATAAGGGAGGTTTTCCTCTCCTTCCTTCTGATCTTAGTCTATCAGTTCACATCAGGAGTGGCTGCATTGTTCAGTGTCCAAGTGGGTTACATAGTAATGGGAAGGGGGACTGCCTCTGACATAATCTGATTGGCCTGCTCTTTGATCACCTTCCCCTGAGGGGGGAGCAGCCTTACCAGGCCACAGAAGATGACAATGCAGCCTCAGGGGTTTCTAAACTGGAGCCACTTCAGGTAAAAGAACCAGATAGCCCTCCCAGCAGGGAAAAACAACTGGACTATTAAGCTCAACCAAACAAAATGTCAATGGAAAAATGGGGAGAATAGACAGTAAAAAGATGTCTGCTATTCTGCAAAGGAATACATACACTCAGTCGTAACAGACATGTGACGGGGCCCAACAAGTTGGCTCTCCAGGCAAAGCTATATATAGCCCACAAAGCCTGACCATCTGATTTTGCTCTGCTGAGCCCATGTAAAGGTGTCCTGAGAGAAGTGTCCTCTGACCTCCACACTGGCCATGTCACACTCGCCCTCCTCCTTGCCTCCTCATCATCCATATACCCAAACACACACACCTATACAGAGAGCTACTAAAAAGACATTTTAGAGACATCATTTCAAGAATATCATATCAAACTTTTCAAGATAAATGAAAACACAAAGAAGTTAATTCTCAGGAATTTTGAGCAAGAAAGAAACCGAAAGGAAATCTTTTTTTTTTAATTTTATTTTTTTCTTATCAGTTACATTTTATTAACTCTGTATCCCAGCCCTGTCCCGATCCCTCATTCCCTTCCAGTCTCTCCCTCCCTCCCTCCCTCATCTCCACCCTGCCCCTTTCCAAGTCCACAGATAGGGGGGGACCTCCTCCCCATTCATCTGATCCTGTTTTATCAGGTATCTTCAGGACTGGCTACAAAGCTCTCCTCTGTGGCCTAACAGGACTGCTCCTCCCTTGGGGGGTGGGGAGGCCAAAGAGCCAGTCATTGAGTTCCTGTTAGAAATAGTCCTTGTTCCCCTCACTTTGGGAAACCAATTGGTTACTGAGCTACCACAGGCTACATCTGAGCAGAGGTTCTAGGTTATATCCATACATGGTCCTTGGTTGAATGTCAGTCTCAGAAAAGACCCTGTGCCCAGATATATTTGGTCCTTGTGGAGCTCCTATCCTTTCCCCATCAGACTAACTCCCCTTCTTTCTTATGATTCCCTGTACTCTGCCAAAGGTTTGGTCATGAGTCTTTGCTTTGACAACACTGCTAGTAGGAAATCTTAACAAGATAAGTTATAACTCACTGAGATGTATTCATTACCATCTATTATTTAATTATTTAATATTATTTAATAAACTGAGCAAATAAATGTTCATCTTTTATTTTAGAGATGAACTAATGCCAAAAACTAAAGCACAAAGAAACACTTTCAACTGCCTAGTGTTTTTTTTTTTTTTCCAGTTTTCTTAATTTTTAAGAATATACACAAAATTTCGAATAGACTGTCAATATTCTACTGTTCTGGTCTAAAGTGGAACAATTTTATATAGTTAACTTGGCAGCAGTAGTCTGGTGATAATAATTTGATGACATGTATACTTCCATCCTAATAAGCTTTTGAATCTATATGCTTGTCTAGCTACCATTTAAAAGTGTTTTGCAAAATAGCAGGAATCTGGTTCTGTGAAGTTACAATACACCTCCTTCCTTTTTAAATATGTCCATCCATCTTTGCGTAGGCGTTTACCTCAGGATTGAAACATTCCCATTTGAAAGGATGAGGGAAACTCAAAACTCAGGAGAACGTTACAAGATTCAAGAAGAGCAGCATCTTACAAGGCTCAAGAAATCTCTCTAAATGTTTCATAAACAGTAAGGAATTGTAGGGAGTGGGCCTGGGGACGAAAGCCCTGTCAGTGAAGCTGCCAGCAAGCTGAACAGTGAGCCATAGTGGCAGAACATGGGGAAATAGTCACTCATGCCAGGTCGGGCTTTACCATGCTTCAACCTCTGAGATTACCCACACTCCTGATACCCCAATTGTTTCAGCAAACAGGACATGGATGTTATCACTTCTATGGTCCGTTACTGTCTTCTCTCTCTGGGGTGACTACAAATACACTCTTCAGTTAGAGTGATTCAACTTTGCTGTAAATATTTATTTTTATGTTTGTACTTATGGTATAAACATGTTTAAAAATGACACTCATTGTAGTTAATAGTGGTAGTTTTTAGGAGTTGTAAGATTTTGTGATAAGGTTTTTTTGTTTTGTTTTGTTTTGTGAGGGGGTTTTTTTTGGTTTTTGTTGTTTATCTTTTTTGTCATATTGGCTGAAGTTTCCAAAATCGAATTAGTCATTCATAGAAAAGTAGCAAAGTTGACTAAACTTAGTAAGGAATAAGGCTACTAACGGCAAAGAAACAGGATGGAAGGGCTGGGACAAGTGTGGAATACCCAAACCCAGATAATTTTCTGTCCTCTTCATCTACACTTGGCTTCAAACTGTGAATGACTGTGAGAGGATTGCCTCCCTGATGTTTTGTTACTGCTAGACACTTGCAATGTTCAAGAAGAGAGCGGCCATTTGTCACACTCTTTGAAGCTATTCAGGTAGGAAATAGAATGAGCAAGTAGAATTTCTTTCCAAACTGTGGTCTGTTACCCTGCAGCCTGGCCATTGCCTGGGCACTTGTTAGCTATGCAGACACACTAACTCCATGTGCATTTGAAGAAGGCCCCAGGGGGTCTATGGATATATTTAAAGCTGGGAAGGGCTGCTTTAAAAGTCCTAACAGCTCAATTATCCTACAGATTCCTCTGACAGAAGATTTTGAAAAGCTGAAGACACTCTTTGCACTTTCAGAAAGACAAAAAAGATTTTGTCTTTTAAATCATTTCCCTTACCTTTTATTTGTGTGTCTGTACATACACCCATATACATACCAGTGGATACATAAAAAGAGGTCAAGAAGAAACTTGGGGAATTCCACCATGTGTGTTTCTGTGATCAATTACTTTTTTTTCTTTCTTTTCTTTATTTTATTTTACTTTTTTTTTTTTTTGAGACAAGGTTTCTCTGTGTAGCCCTTGATGTCTTTGAACTCACTCTGTAGACCACGCTGGCCTTGAACTCATAAATCCACCTGCCTCTGCCTACCAAGAGCTGGGATTAAAGGCATCCTCACAGACCTGCTTAGTTATCAATGCTAGTTTATCAGTCTTGTCAAATGGCTTTATACACTGAAACACTCTGCTCTCCCCAAACATGAAGGTTCTCATGTCACAGCCAGGCCCCGAAGAATAAACACTCCACTGGCCAAACACACACACACACACACACACACACACACACACACACACACAAACACACACAAAACAAGTTCATGAAATGGTTTCTAATGATGTTCTACTATACTCATAGATTGGTGCCTAGGCCAATTGTCATCAGAGAGGCTTAATCAAGCAACTGATGGAAAAAGATACAGAGACCCACAGCCAAACATTGGGCAAAGTTCAGGGAATCCTGCAGAAGAGGGGGAAGAAGAATTGGAGGAGCTATAGGGGTTATAGATACCACAAGAAAACCCACAGAACCAGCTAGCCTGGGCTCATAGGGGCTCGTAGAGAGTGAACCAACCATCAGGGAGCCTGCATAGGTCTGATCTAGGTATTTCGCTTATGTTACAGTTGTGTAGCTTGGTATTTATGTGGGACTCCTAACAGTTGAAGTGGGGCTGTCTCTGACATTTTTGCCTGCTTTGGGGACCCTTTTCCTCATACTGTGTGGCCATGTCCTTCCTTAGTACCAGGGGAAATGACTTGTCTTACTGTGAGGTGATATGATATCCATGGGAGACCTGCCCTTTTCTGAAGAGAAACAGAGGGGGAGTGGATTTGGGAGTACTGGGAGGGGAAAAATGAAGGAAAAATGTAGTCAGGACATAATATATGACAAAATTAAATTAAAAATTTTAAAAACTGAAGCAGAGTACAGAGTTAGCATATTATATGTAAAATCTAGCATTTACCTGACAGGTTTCTCAGCACATTTAATTCTTTCTCCAAAGTGTCTAAGGCTTGTTGATCAGCAGTCGGATCTCCGAAAACCTCATTCTCATCAGTGACGTCAATGTATTCAATTTCTGAAATTTCAGAGGCAGCCTTGGATAGGGATTCAACAGCTGCAGTTCTTGGTCGAGGATAAGAGGACAAATGGTGGCTGGAACCATTTCGAGTGGATCTGGAAACAGGGAGATGCACTGTTGCAGGTCTCTGTGGGGTTTGGTCTACAATAAAGAAAGAAAGAAATCAACTGCTTTAAGGTCCCAAGTGTATGAGACTCAGCATCTGCTTTCATATACTGCTAGGTAGAGTCTTTCAGAGGTCCTCTATGTAGACTCCTGTCCTGTTTCTTGTTTTCTGCAATGTCCATCCCATTTATCTTCCTAAGTGAGGATTGATCATCTTACCCCAGTCCTCCTTCTTGTTTAGCTTCTTTAGGTGTACAGATTTTAGTATGTTTATCCTATCTTATAGGTCTAGTATCCACTTAGAAGTGAGTATATACTCTGTGTGTCTTTCTGCTTCTGGGATACCTCACTAGGGATGATCTTTTCTAGATCCTACCATCTGCCTGCAAATTTCATGATTTCCTTGTTTTTAATTGCTGAGTAGTATTCCATTGTATAAATGTGCCACAATTTCTGTATCCATTCCTCTTTCGAGGGACATCTGGGTTGTTTCCAGGTTCTGGCTATTACAAATAAAGCTGCTACAAGCATGGCTGAGCAAATGTCCTTGTTGTGTGCTTGAGCATAATTTGGATATATATCTAGGAGTGTGCAGAGTGCAGGTAATCATATGAATGAAGGGAAGACCTGGAGAGGACAGGAGCTCCACAAGGATCAAATATATCTGGGCACAGAGGACTTTTCTGAGACTCTCCAACCAAGGACTATGCATGGATATAATCTAGAACATCTGCTCAGATGCAGCCTATGGCAGCACAGTATCCAAGTGGGTACCCTATTAAGGGGAACAGTGACTGTCTCTGAAATGAACTCAGTGGCTGGTTCTTTGACTCCCCCCACCCCCATAAGGGAAGAACAGCCTTGCTAGGCCACAGAGGAGGACATTACAGTCAGTCCTGATGAGACCTGATAAGCTAGGGACAGATGGAAGTGGAGGAGGACCGCCCCTATCAAGGGACTTAGAGAGGGACAGGTAGGAGATGAGGGAGGGAGGGAGGGAATGAGGGAGGTGGCTGCAGCTAGGCTACAAAGTAAATAAAGTGTAATTATAAAAAATAAAAATTTAATTAAAAAAAAACGGTCCCAAGTGTAAACAGGGTGGAAGTGCAAAACTTTAATCTTACAACTACAGTGCTCTGGAGGCAAGGGCAGGTGGATCTCTATGAATTCTAGGCCAGCCTGGTCTACAGAGTGCCTTCAGGAGAGCCAGGGCTACACAGAAAAACCCTGTCTTAAGAAATGAGAAAGAAAGAGAGAGAAAGAGAGAGAAAGAGAGAGAAATCCCAACGTGTGTGTATTTGTCTGGTTGGTTGTTTAGTTTAGTGCGTACAGGCGTGTGCGTGGGAGAACATGCGTGGACAAGTACATGTTGATGCTCGCTGGTGTTCTCATCATCAGGGACACCGTCCACATCCTCTGAGAGAAATTCTCTCATTGGCCTAGGTTTACAAGTTAGACTCCAGTGTTTGGCCAGTGAGCCCCAGAGTTCTGTCTAGAGCCGTCATCCAGGCCCCGGGATCACAAGCATGTACCACCAGCCCTGACATTTTTACATGAGATCTAGAGATCAAACTCAGGTCTTGGTGCTTAGAAGACAAACATCTTACTGATGGAGCCAGCTGCTGTGCCCCACCCCACAGTGCATCAGTAATACAAATTGCTTCCTGCCTGAACACAAAACAGTAATAATTCAACCAACAGTATTGGTGGGAAAGGCAAAACTTTCGACAGTCACTTCTTCGAGCTGTCCACAATGAATTAATCTCAGATTACATTCATTGTGACATAAAGAACTCTTCTCCATCATTTTTCTGCACTCAGGAAAAGATAACTTAATTTTAGTGACAGCTAAGGCAAAATATACATATGATAGGCTAGCTTCAGACCAGTGTAACACATGGCTTTCAAAGCTGACTACCTAATATGTTCCTTAAATTCTAGGAAAATACCGCACTGTGCTTTGTAAAGAGGATAGAATAAGATAAACATGGAATACTCTTAAAGAACTAGTTTGACTTATCAGAATTATAAAGACAAAGAGCCTAGTGCTGAGGGCTAGGCCAGTTCAGGACTTTCTCTGAGGTCTTCATGCATGGAGAAAGGACTTAGTTCTTTGTCTAAAATCTGGTACTTGCTTGGCAATGCCAATAATGGCCTTGGGCCAGGGCTTTTGGGGAACTGCAGTTTTGGATCCTGAAAACTGAACTTTTCCCATTGTATGATAGAATTTTGCTAATTTTGTTTGGTTTTCCTTTCCAGGAGCACTGTATATAAGATGCTATATTTCTCGCTTTTTTTAATAAAGCTTTTAAAATTGAAAATAGATTCTTCTCTTATGCAATACATCTTAACTATAATTTACCCTCCCTCCACTCTTCTTACCCTCCCCCACCACTTCCCCTCTCCCCTAGATCCATTGCCCCTCTGTTTTCTTTTCAGAAAAAACAAAAACAGGCTGCCTCTCTCTCCTTTTCCCTTTCTGTTTCTCTTTCCTTTGCCCCTCCTCTCAGGCAGAATTGTTTCTTGACCCATTTCAGAAGCTGGCTCAGTTGGTGTATTTAACATGCAATGTTTTGCCACAGGAAGAAAGAGAATGCTTTAAATTCTATTACAGCATAAGTAATTCAAAATCTTCTCTTTCTCACAAAAGATTCTTTAACAAAAGCTATCGGAAATTTTAAGAAGTGAACTCAAAGATTCACAGGACAGGTGTATTGCTTTAATTTACAATCAGATTTATAGAACTATTTTTAAATCAAACATAAATAATTCAAAATGTAAGTTTTTAACCTCACAAAAGAAATGAGCTTTGTGTAAAATTTTGAGATAAGCAACTCTCATTATTATAGAAATCATGATTGACTGAACATATCCAAGTAACATTATGTCACTATACAGACTAAGAGAAATTTAAGTTTTAAATGACTATGAAAGTCACCCTGTATAAATTAAAAAATAAGTTTGCCTTCCTCCCGGTTTTCCTCCTTTTTATTCTGCATTGAGTACAGTGGATCCCCTCAGAAGCCTGGGACGCAGCCTGTAAATGGTTAGTTGAGACTCACTAATGTAATATAGAGGCTACTGACTTTAATGAACACTGCTAAAATCAATTTTGAAAATTACTTTGAAAAATGTAATTATAAATACAGGCTTTGACCCTTTTATGACTGTGTGCAGAAAAAAATTCTGAAGAAAGGTAAATCAACAGTCATATGCCTATGTATTGATTCTTCTTTAAATGCCCTCAAGAATTACTTTGATGACCAGAATCGAAAAGTGGTTTTCCCTTTATAGAATTTGGAAACATTCAATATGTCATTCATAGTCAGGAAGGAGTAAACTATGTCTCCTGCATCATGTCCCATCCCAGGAGAGAAACAGCTACAAGCAGAAATTCTTTACAGAACACGAATGTCCTGGATCTCCAGAAAACGTTCTTTTTCCTGTATCACAATGCCTCATCAAATGCAAAATGTAACAGTGTTTTTATTTCTCTTTGAAATATAGCAAACAAAAGGAAGGTGTTTTTAGTAAGGCCTCGCTTTTTCACAACAATAGCAACAATAAAACGTGAAGTGAGAAAACTATAAAATAACATAAATGCCCTTCAGAAAACTCAGGAGAGAACTCCACTAGCTGGCGCTTCCAGCAGCATCTGCTTAACCACTGAATTTGAAGCTAATTAATCCCAATTGAAATAAAATGTACCCACGGGATAGATCAGATATGCTAGCACAAAGCAAAAGGACAGACCATCTTCCCTGCTAGAAATATGCTCCACTATATTTTGGAGTCAACAAAACATGGAGATTTTATTTATTATTGCTTCATATATACTTAACATTCACTTTAGAGTTTAATTTACGAACTTATTAATAGTTTTGCTAAGATTAAGACTCAACACAACATGAAAAAATGTCACTGATGAAAAATGCCAGTTGAAACTGTCATCCCATACTAAAACTAAGTATATGAGCAAAGAGCAAACATACACACTCACACGGAAATATAGTATCATTGACAATATAGTATCAAAAAATAAGTAATTTGATTGATTCCAGTCAGATCCTAGATATAACAAATTTTCTTTAGTGATAGCTTAAAAATATAGACTCTATGATGAGTATTGAAACTGTACTAAATATTGAAAAGATGATATATGATAGAATCAAGCACAACACTATTAATGAGGTTATGACACATAAATCAATCACTAAATAATGCTTAATTTAATTGTGATTGCTATCTATATATAACATGTAATTTGATGAAATAATTACAGCATGTACTTTGGGTTAACTTTATTTTTGTACAGGTATAGAAAGTTTAGAGGTCAATATAGAATTCTTTCCTCAGTTATTCACATTTTTTTTTTTTAGTTTTCAGTTTTGCTCATTTTAAAATATTTATTTATTTACAATTTATTACAATTTATTCACTTTGTATCCCCACTGTAGCCCCCGCCCTCATCTACTCCTAGGCCCACCCACTCTCCCTCTTCTACGCCTATGCTCTTTCCCTAGTCCCCTGATAATGGAGGTCCTCCTTCCCTTCTATCTGCCCCTAGCCTATCAGCTCTCATTAGGGCTGGCTGTATCTTCTTCCTCTGTGACCTGGCAAGATTGTCCTCTCCCCCAGGGGGAGGCTATCAAAAAGCATGTCACTGAGTTCATGTCAGAGACAGCCTCTAATCCCCTTACTAGGGACTCACTTGGAAACTGAGCAGCCTATGGGCTTCCTCTGAGCAGGTGTCTAGGTCCTCTTCATGCAGGGTCCTTGGTTGCATTATCTGTCTCTGCAGGACCCCCTGAGCCCAGGTATTTTGGCTCTGTTGGTCTCCTTGTGGAGTTCCTGCCCAAAGTTTGGCTATGACTCTCAGTATCTCATTCAATACCCTTATGGGGTAGAGTCTTCCATAGGTCCCCTGAAGAAGGTTCCTGTCCTATTCCTTATATTCTCCTACTTCTGATGTCTATACTGTTTGTCTTTCTGAGTGAGGTTTCAGCCTCTTTCCTAAGGTCCTCCTTGTTTAGCTT